ATTATAGTTACTAGTCCACAGTTCGGACAAACCGTTTAAATTGTGATAGTCCAGTGTCCGGGCGCTCAATTTTAATAAAATATACTCGAGCAACCTGAGTTATACCATAATGACCTCTGTACATAGGATGCCTTCGCCCAGCAGTGGGCTGTTACTTTACTTGTTATATAACTCCATGTATGCCTTAAGATTAAGTCGATTTCGCAATATGAGCATAACTGTATCAATCAATAAAAAAAATAAAAAAAGACTGATGAAATGCAAGATGGCTTATTTTTTGTTTTATATCCTCGTTTCCTAAGATTATTCTACACTTCCAAGTTGTCTTTTCGAACAACAAACAAAATGTCTAAAAGCCCTTGCATTAACTTAATTTGGATAAACGCGGCATACTTCTGAAGTTACAAAGGCTTTCCATTATTTTGCGGGTAGAATTTTAAGTTTCCGCGATCATAAAGCATAAAACGGAAGCAAAACAAAGAATTATCAAGGAGAAGAATTGTTTCACATTCAACAACATTTCATGATTCAGAACCATCATATATTCAGAAATTGAAATAATTAGAAAATTTTCAACTTAATTAACATTAAATTTTTCTTGTTTATTAAACTATGATTATTTTCTAATTTAACTATTATTATTTTTTTTATTTATTATCTAATTTTAAAACAATTCATGTGTCAAATACTTGTCTGTAAAGTCTTTGTTTGTCCTCTACCGTCGACCTAAAAGCTGAAGAGAAATTACAAGACTTACCCTAATAAGCCAAGGAAACTAATAGAATTCAACTAGGGGCTTCCAGAACCTGTCGATTTTGTTATAAATTAACACCGTTATTAAAGCTATATGGATGTAAGCTATAATGAGCAATTAATTGAAATGTTGCCCTAATTTAGTGAGTATAATGTACACGAATTTGCACCCAATGTCTCATATATAGGCTAATTCACCCTTATTTATGTAGGGCGAAAATGCTACTTAAAGCGGGAAAGTTCTTACGGTTACAAGATTAAGTTATTTATTTCTGTTCAGTTTCCGACAGTACTTTTATTTTTGTTCTTTACGAAACAATGACGCCATTATATCATGACGTCTATAAATAGGGCATAGGCGAATGAAATACAACATATTAGCTGGTCTATAATGAAATGAGTTAAAAAATTGTTATCAATACTTTCACATCTTTTGAAAAATAACCGAGGTAGAACCCGCTTACTTGTAAACAAGCGGCCGCCACTGAGCTATCGAAGCTTCTAAGAATATAAACGTCTTAATTTGTCGTTACAATTTAAAGGTGAACGCACATCTGAAATCACCGATATTAATAGAGAAGTACTGTACCAATTTAATTAACTTAGCTGTTTACGGTTGAACGTTTCCGACTAACCTTTAGTGTGGAATAATCCGTCTACTTTAGTTAAATCCGCTTTATTTATTGTTTTTGTTTTTAAATAGGATAAAATGAACATTAAAAACAAATAAACATTTCACTTCGTTTGTATTGTCACAGAATCTGCGTTACACTAAGATAAATCGACTAAAATTTACTTAAAAATCTCAATTTTCGGAATGAGTTCAAATGTAAATATTAAATCATGTACTTTATTCTAATAACCTATTATGCATATATTAATAGTTTAATTATTATTATCAACTGTACCAAAACTCATACAATATTATTCAACAAAGGAAAATCAATATAATAAAAGCGAACAAAATAATTTGACATTAAAATCTTTCGAAAATAAATTTCTTTAGTCGAAAAGAAAATGCCGTACAACTATTACACTTTTATATGCGTTTAAATGAGATAAAATCATTATTAAAAAAGTTCTCGTCAAGTTAAAAGTGTAGTTAATTAAAGTTACCAAAACGTAGCAGTTGAACGATTTGACAGATAAAGGACCTGACGGTATTTAGGGCATGCAATAACGGCCTCGAAACAGCCCTTTAAAAATTCCTTCCTTCTTAGTTGTAACGGCGAGATGTTAGCGTTTTAAAACGCAAACAATTTAATTCAATCCGAGTGCGGAGATTTCGGGGCTATAATCAACGTGGGATCGCATTTTCCTCTTTAGATTAAAGGCTTTAAAAATAAAAATAAAACAGTGAACTAATTTTCGTTGCCGTTTGCGTTTTGTAGTGTATCAATTATGATAAAATATACATATTTTTGATGTGATAAGTTGGCAAGCGAACTGACGTTTCACCCGATATTAAGTGATAACCGCCGTCTATGGGCATTTGCAACACCGTAGCGTTTGCATGGTTGCAGACGGAACGAAGGGTTGCAGACGCGTTGCCACCTTTTAGTAAATTGGGCTCCGGCTACCTCATTAACCAGACGAAACGCAGGAGTATAACACTTCCACTTCACGCCGGACTTCCCCGGACGGAGCTGCCCATTCGTGCAAGTTATATAAATAATTGGCATGTAGCGTTAGACGTGCGGTCATTTATTGTCGCGGTTGTAACGACACGCTGTATAATAACAGTGGATAAAACCAGTACTAAGCGCCTCTTCGCGGCAAGCAAGTAAGATATATGACAAATGATTTTGCAACGACGTATCCGGAAAAAAATAACTCATTTGTGCACCTCGTATTGTGGCAATTCTAGTCTAATTATGAAAGGGAACTAGGTCATATAATATTATGAAACTATTACGTAAATTAATAAACAAATAAAAAATTTCAAAAAATTATTTCAGTTACCTACCCGATCCATGATGAAAACTGTTCATAATTCTGATTAGTGTACAGAGTGGACTGAGCATATTCTAATAAATATACAAAACAAGGAATTTAAATAAAGTTCCAATTTATTTTAATACTACATTGCCTGCTCCATCGTCCGCCGGAGTCTAGGGCCTATACCAATCTACCAATCAATCAGTGTTAATCCCAAATAGTTAGATTTTATCCTAAAATTAGGTAAATCGATGACTAGAACATTAAACATGACTACAACATTTTACATAACGTTTGCAACGTTTTAAATTTTTTTTTATTTGTTTTATTTCCATTTGTAAAAAGAGCACTTGAACAGTGAATATAATGAACAAGGCTTACAATTTTACATAGGTATTCCATTATTAGCTAACACGCGCCGTTCACAAAAACAATGCTCTCAAATTTATTATCCTCACATACACCTATGTAATTTAAAAAAACTTAAAAATTAAAACGGCGCCAAAAAAATCAAAAATGTATGGTTTTAAGTCACACGTAAAAAAAGTACAAATTCATAAATTACCGGTAAGTTGATAGACAATCTTAAAAAACGTATACTTATTAATATACTTAAAAAAACGACCTATTCGATGTCTCCAGAACCTACTAATTGATATTATTTTGTTTATATTATTTTACGAAAATTATAAATTAGAAAATTTAGAAAATTAATTTTACTAAATATACTGGTATGGATTGTTGTATATTATGTATTTATTGTTCATATTAAAGAAATAAACTTAAATTAAATAATAAACTTTCCGGTGGATTTATTCCTTCCAAGTTTGTAACTTTATAACTTTACGTTAGGTAAATACTTGGTAGTTCACTTCTGTTGTCTGTTCTTAATGAAATTTTTTATTAGTCTGATTACTGTTGGTTTAACTTAAATTAATTATTTATTTTCTTATTTAAAACATTATGTACAAAATAATATTTATACAAAGGCGGACTTAATACCAAAGTATTTTCTGCCAATCTATCGAGTGATCGAGTGATCCAAACAAATTGAGGTAAGTGATTTAAAAGTATCCTACCTCGTGTTACATTGATAATTTATTTATTTATTAAAATAAATTATATATTTTATGATACATATATTTTAATAGTTTACCCATTCGACATTTTCGAGTTTTGACACGGTTGAAGATAACCTTGAAATTAAGGTAATAAAAAATAATGTTATTATAAATTTACCAGTTTTAAAACAAAATTTCATTTTAATAGGCTTTTAGCCTATAAGAAATAATAATAGTGAAAGTGATAGATAATGAATTTATCATTACATAATGAAAATCTATTCTATTGTTATAACATTAAAATTTTTAATTATTATATTTTATGAATAAAAGGGTCTCTAAGATCTTTAATCTGTATTAACACTGTTGGTTATTATATAATCACCGGTCATACTTAAAACTACAAACGCGGCACTTTTTATGTATGGAATATAGTGATCATTTTGTTTTTAAAACCGTTACGTAACATAAGCTCCTTTAAAACGAATAAACAAATAACATGTAAAAAGTTAAAATGAACGCTGGCCATGTATCGATGATGCTAAATTTCGTATGTAATTAAAAAAACAACAAAATAAAAGAAAATATGTTTAATTTCTCTAGTTATTACTATATATTAATATATCATGCAGTAACAAGTTCATAGTACAAACGTTTCGCCAAATGGAAACAATCCAGGGCTTTCATTTTAGTCCCTAAGTATCATTTACTGCGCCTTGAGTGAGTTACGTTTTATATGTGGGATTGCCTCGAGATTTTATTTAACATTGCATTTATTTGAGATTATATTAGACATTGCTAACAACTTTAACTATGTTTCATATTGTCCGAATAAAAACTATTATAATACGTATAAGTACATCCTTTTCTGGATAATATCAAACGCCAAGTTTCTTTTAACACTCGGAAAGTAATATCTGATTATGCGACGAAGCTTTTATAGCGAAATACTTTCGGAAAAGATATAGTTAAGTCTGTTATTCGAATAATCGTCTATAAAACTAATTATACTATTAAATATATACTTTTAAATACCCTACAAATAAATTTATTAAAAAACAAATATTTTATTAATTTTACAATAACAACCTATATTGAGATACAAAATTAAATTCTCTAAAAGTTTTTTAAAATTTATGATTATTTTTAAAATATTAAACACAATAATCTTTAATATTTATAGTGTATGCATATAGCCTCATCTTATTTTTTAACCCTTCACTGAATGTAAGGCAACAAAAGACTTACCCCAAAGCCATTGCTAACTCGTTGGTGCTACGGTGCTACGGAGACGGACTACGAAGCTTCGAGTGCCGTAGCAGACGCGCGCCTGGCTTTATATCTGGGCGGCGCCTACCACCCCGCCCTACGCCCAGTGCATGCAGCCTCCGCGCGGGTCTTGATTAAAATCTATCGCTGTTTTACATCCCGATTTTTTGTTCGTTCACTACACAATTTTCGGCCGATCGTTAATATATTCTAATGTAACATCGAAGTAAATTACGCAATATACCTTGAGAAGGAAAAACTTTACGTTGAACTAGCGCACAATGTGGCTTTGTCTGCCTCTGGTATGGACTATTTTATGAGTTCCCTTTACGACATTCAGCCGAGTAACAGTTCTAGTGAGGTTTTGAATCATGATTCCCTGATAGATTGCAAGGCATGCATTAACTTACTTAATTGAATGATATATATCTCGCATCTCGCATCCAATTTGTACACTCTTGAGCCCACGTATAATTATATAATAAGGCCTAATAGAAATTGGAGAAGAAGAAGAAACGTTTATTCGCGGTCTTATCACAATAGATACATACAAAGCTTAGAAATTATTGTAACTACACAGAATATAAAATAATATTGGAAAAATTTAAATAAATAATAATAATAATACAATGTAAATTTGATGACTCCGTGCCGCAGTTGCCAAGGTATTGGCTTCGGCGTCAGGGGTCGTGGGTTCGATTCCCACACGGGACAATTATTTGTGCGACCCACAGATAGTTGTTTCACATCTGGGTGTTTGTCTACGTGTAATTTATATTTGTAAAACACAGGATAGTGTTTATCCTAAAGTGAGGGCAATGTATAAAAACAAAAATTTTAACATAACAAAAAATTAAGAATATTTTATTTTATTTATTTATTTATTTAAACTTTTACACAAAAAAATAGTATTGTGTATAGGCGGACTTAATGCCTAAGGAATATTGTAACTACACAATACATAGAATTGTATTGGAAAAATTTAAATAAATTTAAGCAACAAAAAAACAGCAAGTGAATGTCTGTGCAGCAACATAAAATCGTGGAACGGACAGGACTCGGCGAAAATCGTGATACAGAAACTAAAAATTTGTTCTGATCCCGACACTGGTTTTCATTCATTGACAACGTACACATCAAGCCATCAAAACAGAAGAAATCATTGTTAACTTATAAGCCGTCGAAGCTGTTGAAAGTTATCCTCTATCAGACGGGGCCAAAGCTTCAAAAACCTATAGAAGTTTCATACTGTATATTAAGGTCCCGGTGGCAAGTATTACTTTATTTACTCGTCTGTTTTGGCGGAAATATCAGAAAGAGTACTTCCGGCGCACTCTTTTCTTTATTTCCGGCGCTCGTGAAAGGACTATAAATGGCAAAAACACGATAGCACTTATCGAATACGAGCCCCGCAGAATCCGAAAGAAACAAACGATCCGGTGTCCCATTAATAAAACAAGGCGAAACATGCGGTAGGGCCCTTAGCTGCGAAAACTGATATTTCGGCCGCAATACGTCAACGAACCCGATACGGTGAACGTCTTTTCACCTCCGTTCAGGCTCGGCAAGGATTTCCGAGGTAATATAAGGACGTAGGCTCGAAAAAGTGGGTGCTACGAGTATACTCCTGTACGTAACCCGCCCGTAGCGTCAACGCGTAGCAGAAATTTCGCAGAGGAATTTTCCTTTCGAAGAAATTCTAATCGATTCTAAGGTATAGCTTGAGTGAACTCAGGTCTCCTGTTAAACGAATTTATTAATCATTATCTTTGAATCGAAATATACATCTGTATTTAATAATGTAGAGAAAAATATGTTTGCCTTTATAATCGGTGAAATGTCGAATGAAAAAACAAAAGAATGTAAGATACGTTACACCTAAAATATCAACTTAGGTTTTAGTTGATCGAAATGAAAGTGTTATTTCAATTAGACGTATAATATTTGTAGATCACACCGCAAAAAAAGCGTTAATATATTACGATTACCTGAAATCTGAGTTTTTTAATCATTCAATATATAATTTTTGTTTCAGAAATTATGTAGTTTGTGAAACCGTGGTAACTAAATGTCCTTTCTTTCTTTTCTTAGTTTTACATTCAGAATAATTGATCTGAGTTAGTTCAAATCCCTATGTCGCAACCAATGAAATAGTTTAATGTAATTTTAAGAGCCTGTTTCACTATCACTACCTAAATCCATAGTATAATCCTAAAATCATAGTATAAAACAAAGTCGTCCCGCTGTCTGTCTGTCCCTATGTATGTTTAGATCTTTAAAACTACACAACGGATCTTGATGCGGTTTTTTTATTAGATAGAGTGATTCAAGAAGAAGGTTTATACGTATAATACATTGCACCCGTGCGAAGCAGGTGCTGGTCACTAGTATAAGATATAGTGAAGTCTGCTAATCGGCAGTGGAGTACAGGCGACCCTTTCCTAATAACCCTGTACAGCGGAGGCATTGGGCCCTGCATTGGGACATACAATATATAGAAATTCATTGGGAATCGGGTTGTAGAATACTTTTTTTTATAAGTCAATTTGAGATTGATTTAAACTACGTATGATGCTTGTGTAAACCACAGTGAATCTATAATCTATTGCTAAAACCCCTTCACCCTTCAGGGCTAAAGACAGTAGTTTGCTTATTATTGCTACATTCAGTAATTCAGAAAAACCGTTATTGTTAAGTTAATGTGCTCCAAATCGTTCAAATTTATCCACAGACAGCTATTGTTCTAATAACCGCAGCGTGAATCAATGATATTCCAATCATAACAGACATTTAGACGTATGTACGAAAACAATTCGATTAAGATGGTCCCGAAACCAGGCTTATTAATGTGTTTAGAAAACCGTTATTACTACACGCACTGTTGCAATGGATCAGACAGTTACATCGTTATCTTTATTATTATTTTCATCGTCTTAATCACCATCCACTTAGTCGGCACTACATTTGAATTAATTGGCATTAGTTATGTAGCCTTATAAAATCTTTTTTACTACTGGCCATCTGTCTGTGGTAAACTCTACTACTCACAGATCTGGAATATTATAATATAATATTCTGTGTGCTACAGACATAATCGTCCCGTATGGGATTCAAACCCATCGTGGTACTTACCCGGACGGACATGCCCATTCGTGCAACAGTGTTGCGTGGCCCTAACACCGCAAAAGTAAGATGTAATAATAAAGATAGATACCACCGCTAAAAAGTAATAATGGGCAGGTCCGCCCTGGTAAGTACCACGGCCTCACAGAAGACCAGCGTGAAGTGGAAGTATTATACTTCTGCGTTTCGTCTGGTGAGTGAGGTAGCCGGGGCCCACTTTAATAAAAAGTGGCAACGCAACCCTAAGAGTGTTGCAAATGTCAATGGGCGGCGGTTATCACTTAACATCGGGTGAACCGCCAGCTTTTTTGCCACCTTTTCACATCAAAAAAATATATTTCTTTGGAGTCCTAAAAGTGCCAACGCGACCATTGCTTAATCTAGCTTCTACACTTGAATTTTCATCATTTCATTGATGAAGTGATAAACGAAGCTTTTGGTAGGTAATATTTAGTAGTCCGAATACGTTACAAATTTTCAGTAGTCCGAAAATCTGATTTGGCGCGTAACCGCAACTTGGTGTTCTTTAAGCGTCCAATCCACATTTAAAAATGAATGAACTCATTCTGACGACACGAATGGCGTAGTGGGTAGTGTATCTGCCTCCTGCGCCAGGGTGTGGGTTCGATCCCCACTACTGGAAAAATATTGTGTGATGAACATGGTGTTTTTCTAGTGTGTGTCTGGGTGTTTCTATATGTATAATATGTATTTATTTACAAAAGAAAAGTATGTTTAAGTATGTTTATTAGTTTTCTAGTGCCCATAGTACAAGCTTTGCTTAGTTTGGGAATAGAAAATGTTGTGTACAAATGTGTCCTAAATGTGTCCTAAATGAAATTCATAAATAGTTCACACTTTTATTAAATATACTAATCACATTTTTATTATATCACATTTTTATTTACATAAAATGTTCGAAATTCGAATCAAATAAATATTTTTCTAGCCACTATTTTAAATTTCAAAGAAAAAAAAAAGCTTACGTAATGTGACAGAATTTTCGACTCCACTATGTTTTTTAATTAGCAACAGATGGTAAAAATAGAAAATATAATCTATTATGAATATAGTGATGTGTGAGGGGTGAGTAACAAAAAATAAACAAAAGCAGTTCATGACAACCTCTTACGTGGGAATGTGGCAACCGAACCGATAGTTCACCTCATGTTAAATGTTTACCGTGAACTGCCATGAACATTTACAATACGATGGGTTTGTGAATGCGTTATCAAACTTTACAAGAGTGGGGTCAGTTACTTCTTCGTATAATAAGACGTTGCGTAGCCTTGCCACAGACAACATTTCAAACAGCGTAAATAAAGGTCTTTTACTGAGCTTGTTTACTGCGTTTACATATCAATGAATAGAATCACATATCCACTTATTATCATGTATACTAACAGGGGAATCCTGGCAATTCTCGGTATCAAAGATACGGCTAACAAACTGAAAGAAAACATCAACGGGAACCATGCGAAATTTAATAAGCTGCAAATCACGCGTTGCGTATACCATCATCGTAAATTCGGCACGGTATACATCAAGTATTCAATACGACTCACCTTTTCTTGGAATCCGTCCGCAACAAATAGCCCTTGATGAAAACAAACGACCTACGGCGAAGACCCGTTAGGGTTTTGGCACACCGAGAACATCTCTCTGAAGGGTGGACGGAGATAAGACTGAGAAAAACAAATAAAGAAACTTGAAACATCACTCTTATCTATGAAAGTGTTAAAGTTCTCGTGGCATAAGTTAATGCAATAACACAAAAATAAGAACAAAATCCATTGGCTATACACAATGGCACTATAAAAAATCACTGAATTTATTTTTGAACTTAGGGATTGATTACTGCTGACTC